GGGACCAGTTGAAATAGGGTCCCCTACTCCTCTGCCATCTTTTTTCCAAAACCCAGATATCCTTGCTTTTTGAAGCTTACATTCTAGTGAATCTCTCTGGTCCATGTGTTAATTTGTATTGTTCCCTCTTCCTGACTTGTCTGTCCTCTCCTTCTCTGACAACATCCCACCCTTTCCTGTGGTCTTGGTTCAGACACTGCATCTTCTGTGAGGTCCCCAGGGTGACCCTCTATCAGAGGTAATGGCCGTTTCCTCCAAGCATCCATGCGCCCTGCCCGTACTTTCATAGTGCTTCTCCTACAGGTCTGCACATGGGACACAAAACAGTAACTGTAATGATGTTTTGGATTTGTTTTAAGAATTACCTGGCACCGGGGCACCTGGGTGGCTCAGTCGGTTTAAGTGTCTGCTTTCGGCTCAGGTCATGATCTCAGGGTCCTGGGATCGAGCCCTGTGTTGGGCTCCCTGCTCAGCGGGGAGTCTGCTTCTCCCTCTCCTTCTTTGCTTACTCACTTTCTCATTCTCTCTCTCTCAAATAAATAAATAAAAACTTAAAAAAAAAAAAAAAGAATTATCTGGTACCTAGCATGGGAGCTTTTGCCCACTACTCAGTGAATATTTCTTGAATCTATTCTGAGTGTAGTCTGAATGTTGTTTGGGAAATTTTTTTCAGATACTCTGTTTACAAGGACCCAGCAGGCTGGCTGAATATTAACCCCATAAATGGGACCGTTGACACCACAGCAGTGCTGGACCGCGAGTCGCCATTTGTCCACAACAGCGTGTATACCGCCCTCTTCCTAGCAATCGACAGTGGTGAGTAATTTTTAAAATGTCACCAAGTGTATACTTTTCAGTTATAAATGCATTTTTACATTTTACATTTCTTCTGGTAACGCCCGGAGGTGTTCTCGGGAAGAATATAAATGAGTGGAGGCAGGGAAGGCGAACATTTAAACATACAGTAGGTCAGTAATACCCCCAAATCCTGGAATTCTCTGGTCTTTGTCCAGTTAGAGGTCAGAGTGGTGAGCTCACTGCTTCGTCTTAGGCAGGTGCCACAGCTACGAAGTCACACTGATGCCGTTCATCTTGGCGTCATGCTCTCGTCTGTGGGACGGTTCTTTCACTTAGGGCAAGTTGGAAGAAAGTCCCAGAGGACATCACCAAACTTGGTGGCTGGATTGTCCCACAGCTTTTACCCTGTTAGCACAGACGACCATGGAAAGACATCAGGTGCACTCAGCTAGGAGCTTCATAATCACAGAACAATGGCCGTTCATTCAAAAGCTACTAATGCAGCATCCACGTGCCAGAGTCTATTCCAGATGCCGGGGATACGGCAGTGAACAAACAAGAATGACTATCCTCGTGCAGCTGATCCACTCATGGAGAAAGGAAGCAAACTGAGTAAAATACATAATATGCTTTTTGGGACAAAGGGAAACATAGTATGTATGTATGAAACCAGGAAATGGAAAAAAGATAGCGGACATCAGGGTGCTGCTGTTCTAAGGAGGCAGCCCTGGGGAGCCTCGCTGTGGCAGCAACATTTGAATAAAAACACAAAGGCAGTGGCTATGGGAGCCCTGAAGTTATCTAAGGAAAGGGCAAGGAGGCCACCAAGGCTGGGACAAGGGCACAAGTATGGAGACCTCTTAGGAGACGGGTGACAATCTAGGCATGAGGGTGGCTTGGGCTCATAATAGGGGAGGGGATGAGAAGAAGTCAGATTCAGACACAAAGCTAACAGGATCTGCCATTGGCTGAGATGGGGGGTCAGAGTTGGTTTTGGGGTGTGTTAAACAGAGATGTCCATTGTGTCAAGCACACAAGAAATTTTGCTCTATTATTCCAAAAAGCTGAAGATTCGGTTTTGAGTCCCATATATCAAAGTGAATATTCACAGGGCCTTTGGCATGTGCCTTTGTTATACACAAAAATGGGTAAACTTAGACTCTCAGACCCCGTCTCCATATGCTGGGCATTCACATGCACACCACCTATGAGATCATGTGTCTGAGAAGTGCACAGTCGGGGTGGCATGCAGTAGGCAGAGAAGGCTTCACAATGAAGTCAACCTTTGAGTTTGGCCTCAAAGGACAGGTAGGATCTGGATAAGTGGCAGGAGAGGGGGTAGAGGTGCCTGAGAACACAGAGCAGAGGAATCAAAACTAGAAGGGGGTGTGGTATGGGTGGTAAGAGAGGGAAAGAGAAGAGCTGCATCCACTATGAGTGAACAAGTGGAAATCTATTCGGATGTATGTGGAAAAGTCATATCTTCAAAGCATCTCAACAACCAGACAAGTCTTTTGATGGAGCCAGCAGCCGAAAGATTGTGTAAGTTCTTGAGGAGAAACTGCAGATGAAATAGCCCACAGACACTCATCCACCCACCCTGTGCTTGACCCAGGAGACTCAGAGTTGAATAATGCATAGTCCTTGTGCTCCGTGCGCTAATGAGTGATTTGGGGAGTTAGGCTGGTAAGCACAAGACCCCAATGCAATGTCATAACTATTCTGATGGACTTAAGCCCAGAGGAGCCCCTTGTCCAGCCTTGGGGGTGGTCATAGGGAGCTTCTTGGTTAAGGGGATAAAGATAAGTTGAGAAAAGGTAATGCATTTTTGTAATTCCATTCCCATTTTTTAAAAATTTTAATGCCAGTATAGTTAACATACAGAGTAATAGTAGTTCCATGTGTACAGTGTAATGATTCAACACTTCCCTACAATACCCAGTGCTCATCACAACAAGTGTGCTCCTTCATCCCATCACCTATTTCACCCATCCCCCACCTCCCCTCTGGTAACCATCAGTTTGTTCTCTATAGTTAAGAGTCTGTTTGTCTCTCTCTTTTTTTCCCCTTTGCTCATTTGTTTTGTTTCTTAAATTCCACATATGAGTGAGATCATATGGTATTTGTCTTTCTCTGACTGACGTATTTCACTTAGCGTTATACTCTCTAGCTCCATCCATGTCATTGCAAATGGTAAGATTTCATTCTTTCTGATGGCTGAGTAGTAGTCTATGGTCTGACTATACCACATCTTCTTTACCCATTCATCAATCGATGGACACTTGGATTGCTTCCATATCTTGGCCATTGTAAATAATGCTGTCATAAACATAGGGGTGCATGTAGCCCTTTGAGTTAGTGTTTTTGTATTTTGGGGTTAATACCCAGTAGTGCGATTACTGGATCATAGGGTAGTTCTATTTTTAAATTTTAGAGGAACCTCCATACTGTTTGCTGGAGTGGCTCCAACAGTTTGCATTCCCACCAACAGTGCATGAGGGTTCCTTTCTCTCCACATCCTCACCAACACCTGTTGTTGCTTGTGTTTTTGATTTTAGCCATTCTGACAGGTGTGAGGTGACATCTCATTGTGATTTTGATCTGTATTTCCCTGATGATTTGTGATGTTGAACATCTTCTCATGTGTCTGTTGGCCATCTGTATGTCTTCTGTGGAAAAGAATGTTTGTTTCTTTTTTCTATTTTTTTTTAGATTATTTTTGTTTAATTAGATTATTTGTTGAGTTGTATCAGTTCTTTATATATTTTGGATTCTAACCCTTTATTGGATATGTCATTTGCCAATATCTTCTCTCAGTCAGTAGGTTGCCTTTTAGTTTTGTTGATTGGAAAAGGTAAGGCATTCTAATAGAAGCCTGAAAGAATATGGATATGTGGGACACTGAGAAAGCTTCCATGTAGGCTCCATATGTACAAAGCTAGGAGCAGAGAGATGGCCAAGCACCCACTGCACTAAGGTTGATACTAGGTCTTGTGTTGAATGCCTGGCTGCTATCACAGTGCCTGATTTAGAGCAGGTGCTCAACAGATCTGTGGAATAGATCCTGAACTAGATCATGAAATGTTCCATATGCTATGCCAAGGTGTTTGATTTGACTATGTTGCTTACTTGCCTCCAAAATAACCTTTGTCCTTTAGAAAGATAACCCCCAAGGCAGTGTAGAAAATGCACAATGATGATGTGGGGGGCAGGGAGGCATTCTAAAGCTGTGGCAGAAATCGGGATAAGAGAAGCATGAAGCAGTGAAGTGAGTTTAGTTGAAGCGAGTCTAGAATCAGGAAATACGTTGAAAGCCATAGCCCGTATCTTAGTTGCAGGGGTTAGGGTGGGCCAGGTGACAAGAGAAATGGACCAGAAATGATGAGTCTAGAAAACATCTGGAAGGAAGAAACAAGACTTTGAAAAAAATAAGTGCTCAACATAAAGTAGAGAAAGGTGATATTCAGATTTCTAGGCCGGAAACCAGGAATGATTATTCCACTGATAGAAGGATTGTTTCAAAGGATTGTTCCCATGTTGTCTTTATGGGGTGGATGTTGAGATGATGTCCCATGGGACTGGAATAGAGGTAAGGAGGTTTTTCTTAAAGAGTCACCTATGCAAAAGAGACGGGAGCCATCAGAACAGGTAAGTTTTGTAGAAGGAACGGGTCTAGACGGAGTGCTAAGGGCATAAACAGTGGGTGACAACAAGCCAAGAATGTTTAAAATGCTGTTTGAATTAAAAAGAGTCAATTATAGATCTGCTAAAGGAATGATTTCAGAGTTCTTTGCTACCTAAAAGTCTCTGTACTTGTAGAGAAAATTCTCAGCTAAGAACAGCATGAAGAAAGGTGGAAATAACAGCAAATAGAGTGGTCATTGCCTTATGAAATATTTTGTGCAATTATTCATCAAAAAAAAAAAAAAACTAGAAGTGAAGTACACTTTAATTTTTGCCAGAAACAAGAGCCTTCTCTCCAGGTATGACTAGGCAAGCTGCTTATAGACTCTGAGGCCCAGTTTCCACTTCCATAAGATGAGGAAGATAATTCCTACTTAGAACATTGTTGTGAGAAATGAGAAATAGAAGTGCTGTGCCCTCTATACTCACCATCAAAAGTCATATTAAATGTTCAGTAAATGCTAATCTCACCCCAGTGGGGGTTATAGAAAGGAAAGAATGGAGCCACGAATGGTCCTAAGAAAAATACAGTGTGAAATCTACTTCTTGTCTAACTCTTTTAATACTAATATCAAACAAGTGAAATCAAAATCTGGTGTCACAGATGTTTCCAAAAGGACGAAATGTCCCTGAAGATGTAATGATAAATAGAAAACAGGTTGGCATTAATATACACAACCATCATTAGAGATGATAATCTTGAACAAGGCCCAAAAGACTTAAGAGTAAAAAGAGCATAAATTTAAAAAGACCTCATAAATCAAAGGAACTTTTTGTTTAAAGACTCCTTTTTGTCTCACTGAAAATTTATCTCTAGGTATTATGTTGAGCCAGGAAAAACCAACACTTACGTATTAGATCAAAGTTAATAGTATAACTGATGTCTCAATTTTAGACAAAGGAAGCATTTGATTTTATTTAATTTATAGAAATTCAATGTATTTGATGGAATGAAAGAATAAGGATTTTTTTTTTTTTTTGGTCATGTAACACTAGGAAAGCTAAAGCAAAATAAAATGATTTTCTCCAAACAAGGAGTCACTTAGGAGTTTATATCCAAACATGTTGGTAAAAGATATGTCTGTAGGATCTTCCAGGCAGGATGTAGTAGATTACTGTCCCCACTGCAAAAACTAGGAAAATCAGGATAGATTACAAAAGTCTTTAATTTTAAAGGCATCAGAGAGCCACAGAAGCCAGGAAGCCTTGATCAATGAAAATATCAAAGAGGGAAGAAGCATTCTAAAAAAAAGTATAAGGCAGCCAGCCATTTCTTCTCTCTGGGGACCTTTTCTGATTCTGGGTGAGGGTCAGGCTTGACCCAGGGAAGAGGG